CCCTATTGTAAACCCTCAGATTAATATTGTCAGTTAAGAGATTAAAGCAAAATACCCCATCCAAACCACTTATCTCGCAAATGTTCAACCCTTTGAAAAACTTATTTCAAATCTATAAACTGCATAACATGTATTCAAAGATGAGAAACTCCATCTTTAAACAGAATTATTTAAAACATATTAACTGCATAAACCATGTACTAAGTTAGAAAGAATCATTTTAAAATCTAAGTGCATAAACATGTACTACAAAGTTTATTTGGCTTCAATCCAGATCACTATAATTGTTAGCTTATGCATTGTAGACACTACACACACATGTACAGCATGTTTTGAAGATCATATTGTCAAGTATTAGGATGCTGGTCCTCAGACAGATACTTAACAGTATGTCATCTTCTTCACAAGATTGGTTAAGGGAAATATCATCATGTTTAATACTGAATATCGTTTTTATAGCATTCCATGCTTGTATTCCAGTACCAGTTTTGATAGACCCCTGCTACTCTATTAGCACATGGGATGTCCTCCATGCAGACCCTGCACACCCCCGGCTGCAGATGAGACGCCAAGTGTCATCCCCTCGTGGAGAACCCTTGCTCCACATCCATCAACTAGCATATTTTCAGACAGGCAGTTCTTTCTCACTCTTAATTGCATAATGAATTTCATCTGTTAGAACTTTCTTTTTTTGAAATTATATAGAATATCAATTTTAAAGCAATTTCATCATTGAATACTGAATATCATTTTTATAGCATTTACATCAATAAATACTCAATATCATTTGTATAGCATTCTCATTATTGAATACTGAATATCATTTTTATAGCATTCTCATGTTTGAAACTTTGAATATTGAGTATCATATTTATAGCATTCTCATCATTGAACATTAAATATCACTTTTATAGCATTCTCAAGTTTTTGAAACTTTGAACATTGAATATAATTTTTTATAGTATTGTCATTTTTAAATATTGAATATCATTTATGGCATTCTCGTGTTTGAATACTGAATATAATTTTTTTAAAGCATTCTCATGTTTGAATTCTGAGTAACATTTTAATACCATTCTCGTGTTTGAATACTGAATAACTTAAGTATGCACGAGAAATCTTAACATATAGCTTCTAATGTTTGAATACTGATAACCATAAGTCACATTATAATGAATTAGTACGTAAACATATTGTTTCTTTATTTTACATTGGCTAGAGGTATAGGGGGGGGGGGGGGGGTTGAGATCTCACAAAACATGTTTAACCCCGCCGCATTTTTGCGCCTATCCCAAGTCAGGAGCCTCTGGCCTTTGTTAGTCTAGTATGTTTTTTAATTTTAGTTCATTTATATGTTTTGGAGTTTAGTGTGACGTGCATTTTCACTGAACTAGCACACAATTTTAGTTAGGGGCCAGCTGAGGACCACCTCCGGGTGCGGGATTTTCTCGCTGCATTGAAGACCCATTGGTGGCCTTCGGCTGTTGTCTGCTCTTTGGTCGGGTTATTGTCTCTTTGACATATTCCCCATTTCCATTCTCAATTTTATTTTTTTCTCGTGATATCATTAAAGGTGAATCGATCAAAAACCCTGAATCCTTGGGGACACTTCTGTTTCCATCTGAGTTTTTGGACCTTGGTGGACTTTTATCACTGGTCATTTGTAAACTTTCACTCATCCCTAAGCATTTCGGGGACAAATTTATCAAATCTATTCCAGTGCCAGTTTGATAGACCCGACTGCTACTCTACTAGCACACGGTCAACCCCACGCAGACCTTGCACACCCCGGCTGCAGATGAGACGCCTAGTCTCGTCCTCTCGTGGAGACTCCTCGATATACATTCCCCGGCTGGCTTAGTGTCGGCGAGACAGGTTCTTCCGCACTCTGAAGGTTGCAAGATGGCTTCCTCAAGCAGGAACTCAAAATTATATTTGTATGCTGAGTGTTTCTCAAGAGCCAAAATTATTTTTATAGTGCATTAATGATAAAATGATTATTCATTCTTACTTATCTTTCTGCTTTGAGCCAGTATGATTTGCTGAGACTATGGTTTAGTTGACACACAGAAACCCCTATGTTAGCTTTGGTTCAGTTGTTTGGAGCCGATAACTGGTCTACAATGCTGATGTATGTGGGTTGCTGTCTTGGCTTTAATCTTAATTTGCTCTAGGACCACTCAACAATTACTAAATAAGTAATCAACCTCCTACTACATCTACAGAAATTATATTCACAGTATGAGATTTTCAGCAAATGTACAATATGAGAATACAAGAACAATACACTAGAGACTACAAGAAAATACAATATAAGACAATATAGAAGTTTGTATAAATGAGTGTTTAGAAAACATCAAATGTATGAAATTTAAACTACTTTTGGAGAAAATATTTTTTTTGCACCAAGGCATTAATTAACAGGTGTACTCGGCGTGATTCGTTTTTCAAATATTAAATATACGACTCAAATTAACATATCAATAATAATTTGTGTCACGTTTTTGGTTTAAAAGTTAGACTATACTTGCAAATTGGAATAACCCAGACTAGTGTTTATTATAAAATCTGTAATCAAAGTTATCTTATCTCGAATACTTCACCTGCTCATGATCAGCTTCCTTTCAATGGATTGACACCATTGATATCGCAAAATAAAGCAAATTTTGAAAGATAGGATTTTGTCACTTTTACGTTATAACGATACTCTTTGAGGGAACAAAAATAACTTTTTCTAAAGTGAAATTGCATGTTTTTGTATTGTTCCATGGTTATATTTTTTTTTATATCACCCCATATTCTCGTTTCGGTAGATAGAGACATATTAATAAGATGGTTCAAATTATAAAGTAGCAAATGAAGGATCCTTTGCCGACAAGCAACTCAGGTAAAACCCTTTTCTATGAAAAAAAAGTAAAAATTACATGTACCATTTATCTACATTACAACACCACACAATTACCCTGAGCAATTATTATTTGCATTAGGAAAATATATACCCAAATTGAAAGTTTGCCACTCAGAAGGCTAAATCACCCTTATAGTGTATATTATATCGCTAAAAAAAGTTCGATAACTGGCTTCAAACTAAATGGCCAAGTTCGACAACTAAGGCAAGATAAGTAATAGGACAGTTAGTGTTACGGGGTGTGATCAACACATCGCATGAAACAGAGATTCATCTTACAATTCTCTGTGAAGTCTGTCGCGTTTCCATTCCTTTTAAGGGCATCCAATATAGTTTCAAAGGAGTTAACTCTTGGCGCGACGTTGTGCATTTGAATTCCCCCAAAAACGTCACTTTCAGCGTGACGTCATGCGTGTGATTATCCGTATTAAAAAAATAAAACCTTGCTTGAACGATATTTAGTATAAACGATACTCCAATTTATGAAAAGGAACTTTCCGTTTTGAATTTTCCTTGGAGTTCGGTATTTTTGTTTCACACACACGTCAACTTCTACGCCCTTAAGATGAGTGCATTTGATTCTCACATTTTGGGTTAAATAAACGGGAAAAAAGTCTAGTGAAATAATAAAAAAATAAACACATATCACTGTGCCTGCTGTTCCTCGTCTTGAACTTTCTGTGCAGTCTTCAACAATGAAATCTCAAGACGACTGATCCCTTTGGAGTTAACAGTATGCATGCCAATTATCATTTCTATTATCATTCATACCAGATCGAATTTTGATTTGGATCCGATTTTCTGAAAGACCGTAAGTCTCACGGCGAACAGAAAAATAGTTTTACAGCGCGGGCGCCCAACCCTCCCCTAACCTGGACATCGGTGTAACAGTATAACATATGAACAAACTATAAAAATCAGTTGATATAGGCTTAACTCATCAGATCAAAAAAACACAGATGAGAAAAATGAGAAAAACGACATAATAAGAAACGCTCGATTTCCGCTTTCAAAGTTAAAAAAATCGTACTTTGAGTTTCTTATTCGTGTTACATTTTTGTCATTTCCGAAAATAGTATTATAATTTTAAGGTAGCTCGAAATACCCAATAAATATATAGACCTGAAAACTGACGATGATATCAACCTTGCAGGGTAAATTAGCAGGATATGTCGAAATTGTCAGCCAGCAACGTCGTGCATTTTCTCGCTATAACGTTGAGGTTACCAAAGGGGAACACACTTTTTCGGATTTATTGCGATTTATCTCCGGATCCAGCACGGTGACATATATTTTTTATTTGCTACTTTGAGAAAGCATGACAAAAGACAATTAATGTAGAAAAGTTATAAAAAACGACATTATAACTGCTCGATTTCCGCATTCCAAAATTAGTACTTTGAGCTTCTAATTCGTGATTTCAAGGTTGGCTCGAATAATAAAAAGTAAAATCACAAAAATACTGAACTCCGAGGAAAATTCAATCGGAAAGTCCCTAATGAGATGGCAAAATCAAATGACAAAACACATCAAACGAATGGACAACAACTGTCATATTCCTGACTTGGTACAGGCATTTTCAAATGTAGAAAATGGTGGATTTAACCTGGTTTTATAGCGCTAAACCTCTCACTTGTACGACAGTCTTATCAAAATAAGTTATTCTTCTGTGTATTTATTTTTCCCTTATCTTTACTTATCATGGCTTCAAAATGGATCCAATCTTAATTATTAATTTATGACGAAGAATTATACCTTCTTTAAAAATGTCAGCCTCAATTTTCTCGCACGGTGACGTATGTTTTTTTAGTGATTTTTTTTATTAGTAGTCCAGGCCTACAACATATTTCAAATTATATAAATGACAATACAACCTGAAACTGTATCAGATGCCATTAAATATACAATTTCTTGGTTTGAATTCTATACATTGAAGGAATGAAAATGAGAACTTTTCCGGAATTTTTTATTCTTTGTCTTAGGATTTCTGTCTCTATATGAAGACATATTTATTTCATTCAATGTATAGATTTAAATTGTAAAATAATGCTTTTTATTGTTGTGATAAAATAAGTTTTATTTATTCTTCAAGGAAACGACAACCTGCACGTTATATCGTCTTCAAAGGATTACTTGCTGAGATTTGATCTGGAGGATTTTAATGGCGATACAACCTACGCTAAGTACTCAACATTTAGAATAGGAAATGAGGCATTTAATTATATACTAACCATTGGCGGATACAGTGGCACTGCTGGTAAAAAATGTTTAACCACAAACTTAAAAAACATATCAATGCTAAACCTGAAGATATGATACAGCCCTCGCGATAAAACTGAAATTGAGAAATCAACTTTAGATTTTTATGTAGTGTTTTGTAGACTGATGTTTGTCTTTTCGTGTTTTTTTGGGGTTTTTTTTGCCAAGATTTAGTCAGTATCTCTTCGGCTTCTGAGTTTTAATTGTCCTTTTGATATCTTCTAACTTTTTTCTTAATATTCCCAGATATCAAGAACATAGGTAAAAATGTCGAATGCTATCTCAAACTTAGTTCATTAATGGAAACTTTGTATAACTGTCTAAATAACCCAGTTTAACATCTTGTCTTCTCATTGATAGTTAAAGAGTTAAGGGCGGTACGAATAAGACTTTGATTTTTGTCCTGTTTCTTTTAATGATTTTGTTTTAATTTCATACCGTCATAGAGAGTACATCTAAGTGTCTTTCCTCTTACAACTTTATTAAAAGATTTGACGTTTCTACCCTTTACATGAATATCCCCATTCCACACTAAAAGACAAATTAAAAGACTTGGTCCTGCTGTGTTTCATTAACAAGAATGGGCATCGTAGATGCTAGTCTCTTGTCTTAAGGAGGGAAAAGTCACTCAGACTAAAAAACATTCTCTGAAACCTCAACTACACAAAAAAACCAGTAAAATATCGTTTCATCTCGGCCTCTAGTAAGTGTTCCACAACTAATCTTTCAGTGCTTTTAACTAGTTCTTTAACTACTATCAAATAACTTATCATTAACATTTGTAATAAAACATATGAAAATAGTAGAATTAACTATTTTTGGAGTTTAAAAATTCTTTGGATGTTTTAGAAAAATTACGTGCTTTTGATGGTCCTTATGATTCTGTTGACAGTTTTGACTTTTCAACTCTTTACACTACACTTCCAAACAATCTTATCAAACAAAAGTTTTCCTACTTGATTACATGATCGTTTGGTAAATCTGAATGCAAATATATTTGCTCACCTCATCTAAAGCCTTCTTCTCTAATGAGAAAGTTAAATATGCAAGATATACTTACTGGAGGTGTGATGAGATGATTGAAGGTGTTAATTTTCTCCTTGATAATATCTATTTACGTTTCGGCAATAAAGTTTATCGACAGGTTGATGGTATTTCTATGGGCACCAATTGCGCCCCTTTAATATCAGCCTTGTTCTTGTACTGTTATGCATCACAGTTTATGACAAAACTCAGTAAAAACCCGTCTAAAATGCATTTAATTGATAAATTCAACAACACTTACCGCTATCTTGATGATATTTTTTCGTCAAATAATCAAGAATTTTCTAAATATACTGCCGAAATTTACTCAAAAGAACTTACTTTTAATAATCAAATATAAACGGTAATAACTGTCCTTTCCTAGATTTAGATATTTCAGTTCTACACGGGAAATTCTACACTAAAATTTACGACAAAAAGGACGATTTTTCGTTCCCTATTATTAAATTTCCTTTTTTAGACAGTGATGTTCCTTTGGCACCATCTTACGGTGTTTATATATCACAACTCGTTCGCTATACCCGTGTCTGTTGTGACGTTTTGGATTTCAATGAACGTAATCTATGTATTACTGGTAAATCATTAAGTCCGGGATTTCGTTACCACAAACTACTTAAAACCTTTACTAATTTTTTCCATAGATATAAAGATTTGGTTTTGAAGTTTGGTTGTACCTGTAGAAAACGTATTTCAAACAAGATAGCAAATCCTAATTTTTATGGTGATGTTATAAAGTTACGACTAGGGGAAACCTATCGATCATTTAAATACGCTTATTCTAAAAGGTTACCAATTCAACACTGTAATTAGATCTTTGAATATTGTTTTATTGGTATTAATATTGATTTTGTTATCAGTAGATTAAAATCAAACTTAATATTATTTTTATATACATATGCACATGCATGGCTCTTCTATCTGTCGATATCTGTATCTTGGTACTGCACATGGTCATGTTTTTCTCTGACTGTTAATGACGTCTTTACACTAAATCTATTGGATGTTGGATGTGTACGGATTGATATTTTAGTCTTAGATGTATGATTTGTTTTTATTAGTTGTTATTGGCTTTGAACTAGCTATCAGTAACTGCTAGTACTCTCAGATCTGTACTTAGTGTCTTTTGTTGTGGTGATGTATAAGTACCCTTCCAAGTCCACTATGTGTTTTTGTTATATGTATTTCTATTTGTATCCATCTGATGAGTTAAGCCCTTTTCAACTGGTTTTTATAGTTTGTTCTTATGTTGTACTGTTACAACACTGTCACAGGTTTTGGGGGAGGGTTGGCGCATTCAAACTAGTTTAACCCCCCACATTCTATATGTGCCTGTCCCAAGTCAAGAACCTGCAATTGAGTGGTTGTCGTTTTTTGCTGTTTTTCATATTTGTTTTTCGTTTATTATTTTACATAGTTTGGTCTTATGTTGTGCTGTTACATCACTGCCCAAGGTTATGGGAGGGATTGGCGCCAACGAACTGTTTAACCCCGCCACATGCTGTATGTGCCTGTCCCAAATCAGGAGTCTGTAAGTCAGTGGTTGTCGTTTGTTGCTGTGTATCATATTTGTTTTTGTTCATTATTTTGTACATAAATTAGGTCGTTAGTTTTCTTGTTTGAATTGTTTTACATTTGTAATTTTGGGGACTTTTGTAGCTGACTATGCGGTATGGGTTTTGCTCATTGTTAAAGGCCGTACCCCTATAATTGTTAATTTCTGTGTCATTTGGTCTCGTGTGGAGAGTAGTCTCATTGGCAATCATACCATATCTTCTTATTTTTGTATTATCATGATAACAGATTTCTTGATTGACAACATATTCCCAGATGTTTCCCATGTTTCCCAGATGACGACGGATAGGTTCCAGTTGTCGTAACCACCATCATCCCATCTTCTCCTCCTTAAATATGACCTACCGAATTAGAATTATCACCGGGTTTATACTTACATAAGCAGCACGACGAGTGAATCATGTGGAATTAGATTTGCTTACTCTACTGGAGTACCTGAAATCAACTCTGGTTTTTGGTAGGGCTACTGTTGCTTTGGCTTTAGTTTTCTATGTTGTGTTTTGTGTACTGTTGTTTTTCTTTTCGTCGTTTTTCGTGTTTTGCCATGGTAATGTAAGTTTCTTTTCGACTTTGAGTCTGAATATCCCTTTGATATCGTTCACCTTTCTTTTATAGAGAGTAAACGTCTTTTCTGGTTTTATTGCACTTTCTTGTTGGTCCACGGATCAAAATATAAGAAAAACATTAAAGTGTGCATTATCTGACTGCTATACCGTCAAAATTATTATTTTCCGCAAAAATTTGCAGGCATTTGTATCGCCTTTTATCGATCAAATTCAAGTGGGATATTCTTGTCTATTGCGATAAGGTATAACCCCACCCATAGGCTTAAATAAATCTCATCTAGATATAAAAGTTAGTAATCACTATCCATTATCAAAAATGTCACTGTAAATGCATGAAGCAAGAAGCAGAAATTGCTGTAGTGTATGAAATATACAAGTCCTTTGGTAAGTAATTTATACAAATTATTCAGAATAATTGTTTTCCCCTTTTGTCTGGGATACTATTGGTTTGTTCAAAACTTAAAATCAAGATAAAATAATAGAACCCCCTCGCAATTAAATCACGTGGCTGCTCACCGGTAGAAATGCGAATATTATTAGTACATCCTGGCTGTTTCTTCATAAGACAGACCTGTCGTTCTGAAGTAAATAACTCAATATAGGTATATAAAATAAGTAGATGTGGTATGATTGACAATGAGGCAACTATCCACCAGAAGCCAATTGACGTAAAGGTAATTAACTATTATAGGTCACATTGACACATTAAATCGATACAAATCACACACAAAAAAACATCTTACAAAAACATTAAACTGACACAAAGTACCGATCTGAGAGTACTCAAAGATAGTTCAAAGCCAGTAACAACTAATAGAAAATCATATGTATCTAAGACAAAATATCAATCAGTACACATTCAATAGATTTAGTGTAAAGACGTGATAGACTGTCTAGGATATTACAACTTTGTGTAATGCCAAAATATAAGGTTCGATAGGATGTAGAACTGCAAGTGTTTATAACTGTATAGCAATGCATATTAAGGTATGTTTTAATTAATTGATAAGAAATCAATGTTAGCACCAATAAAAACAATATTCAAAGATCTTATTACAATGATAAATTAATAACCTCTTAGAATCAATTTATTCAAATAATCAATAAATATAAATAAGAAGATGTGGTATGAGTGCCAATGAGACAACTCTTCATCTAAGTCACAATGTATAAAAGTTAACAATTATAGGTCAAAGTAGCTTAAGATTTGTCGTACCGGTAGAACCAGTAGACGAGCACAGGTGAAGAAGATAGGGAAACCAGGCTTGTTTGGGCCAAGCTGGAGCAATAAGAATGATCAGCCCTGGACCGTACAAATTATGATGTATTATCTCCTTAGTAATAAGTATTTCATAGATACAGCCAATCTTTTAAACCAAATATTTGTATCTATAAAAATTTTTAGTAAAGGTTTTAAGTATTTTGTGGTAACGAAATCCTTGTCTGTTTAATTTACCAGTGAAACATAAATTGCGTTCATTGAAATCTATTACTTAACTACAGACACGGGTATAGTGAACGAGTGAGGATATATATTCACATTCACCGTAAGATAGAGCCAAAGGAACATCGCAGTCGAAAAAAGGAAGTAACAATAGGGAACGAAAATGTGTCGCTCTGTCGTTAATTTTAATATGGTGTTTCGCTTGTGAAACTGATATATCTAAATCTAGGAAAGGGCGATTTATATTGTTAATATTACATATAATTAAAGTAAGTTAATCCCTTGGGTATCTTTTGGCAGTATATTCTTGATTATTTAACGAAAACAAATCATCAATTTAACGGTCGTCTTCGCTAGGCTAGGGTTACGATCCGGTTCCCTACTCTTCACCCTTGACACATTAAGGGCTTACGATACAGTTTTGGTCCCACGGTGATTTGTTTTACGAAAATTTGCTAAATTTAGAGATGAATGAGGTCGAAATATTGGACTTTTATATAAAATTTCGGTTTATTGCACATTTCTATCCTTTGAACAGACATAATCTTTCAATCAGTTTAATTGAGGTATGGAGCTGGCATGTCAGTAACTGCTAGTAGTCCTTTGTTAATTTATGTATGATTATCATTTTGCTTATGGTTTCTTTTGTTATCTATTCTGACATCGGACTCGGACGTCTTTTAAACTGAGTTTTACTGTGCGTATTCCTGTGTGTTTGTTTATTCTACATTGGCTAGAGGTATAGGGGGAGGGTTGAGATATCACAAAACATGTTTAACCCCGCCGCATTTTTGTGCCTGTCCCAAGTCAGGAGCCTCTGGCCTTTGTTAGTCTTGTATGTTTTTTAATTTTAGTTCATTTATACATGTAAGATTTGGAGTACAGTGTGACGTCCATTTTCATTGAACTAGTACACATTTTAGTTTAGGGGCTAGCTGAAGCCCGATATCTGGTGCGGGATTTTCTCGCTGTATTGAAGACCCATTGGTGGCCTTCAGATGTTTTCTGCTCTTTGGTCGGGTTGTTGTCTCTTTGACACATTCCCCATTTTCATTCTCAATTTTATACTTTACTTTTGTATTTCAAAAGATAAATACATGCGGATTTTTGTAAAAAGATTTGGAATATCTGCGTTACAAAAGTAGGATCTTCAACTCGTGTAACAATTCTTTGTAAATAATTCATTTTTATTAAATTTTCTTGATTTTAGAAAAAAACGGCATTTTTTGCTGTATATTTATCTAATTTAAAAAAAAAATACATCGGTGACTTCTTCATAAAAATTGGAACAAATAATCTTAAAACAGTATCAAGTCAAATGCCATTTTAAAAAAAGAGGAGTCCATGTACTCGTTTTCAAGCTAATGATTAAAATCACTCGCAAAATGCATCTTTTCCCGATATGTCGCAGTTTGACGTCGCGAAAAATAACATTTTACGTAAGCAACATCATTATCTCCCCTGTAACTGTATCGTATGCCCTTAAATCATCATTTCGGACCCACGTGGTAATGATTTATATTGGTCGCAGTTCTAACTGGCTGCATCCAATCAAAAAGCGCAATTATGTTGATCACGTGTAAATGTAGAAAATATCAAAAAGTAATAACCATGTACCGATTGTGCAACTTGTCTTTAACCCCAAACATAGGACGATATTTAGTGACACTTTTGAAACTTAATAAACTAATTGAAGTTCTTGGGTATGTTCCTCGTGCAAATGTTGGAATGTCAACGTATAAATGCGATTCCTGCTTCGTGAAATTTGTAAACATCGGACACAACCATTTTTACACCTACACACTGAAGAGAGTTCAAGTGCTGCCATTGGATAAGAATGATGTTGTCGGAGTGGGCGTGACTTTGATCTGTTGCTAGATGGCGCAACGCTGTATACACCAATTCTATATTAATATGCCTAGATTAAAGAGTAGGGCTTAAATCTTAACACTTGGCTAGCGATGATGGGTAACAGTAGTTGTTGTTAAATTCATCAATTAAACGAAATTGAAACGGATTTTACTGCGTTTGGCCAGAAACTGATTCATAACAATACAGGAACAAATCTGCTATTAAAAAGGCACAATTGGTATCATACGTATACCTACAACCTGTCGATAAACTTTATTGTCGAAACGCACATAGATGTTGTCAATGGGAGGAAATGAACAGCTTAAATCATCTCATTATACTTCCAATAAGTATCTACTATATCTACTTTTTCGTTACAATGGAACGTTATATTAGTTGCAGCAAATAAATTAATTCTGCAAATATTTTTCAAATGACCATCTAATTGAGTATGAAAACTGTTAAGTTAAGTGTAGAAAGTCGACAATTTGGAACTGTCAACCGAATTGAAAGGAATTAATTTCATTCTTTTCATATGCTTTATTACAGAAATTATGATGATTGCTTCGAAAGTAGTAAGGGAGTTAGATAAAAGCACTGAAAAGTCAGTAGTAGAATACATACTAGAGGCCGAAATAAAACGATAGTTGATGGGTTGTTGGTGTAATTTACTATTTTACTGTCTGTGGAGCGCACAGACCTGAATGTAGGATGTGTAATATCATTCTTAAGAATACCCGTTCAGTATTTACGTCATGCCTCCACTAACTGTTGTCTACTTTGTCGGTTGGTACAAACACAATCTTTACAATTGGATGAAAGAGCATCTTTAATGACCTAAGACAGTGTTTCCAATTTAGATGAAGGACGATATTTTGATCCTTGGATTTGAACGATGTTGAGGTCCCCTGTAATAACATGGCAATAGGGATCATATCTAAAATTCGATGTTTCACAGTCTCAAGTTGTAGAAGAGAGACAAAAGTTATCAAAGGAAATTCAAATTCATGAGTCGAAAATGAAATGACAACGTCATGGCAAAATAAAAGGAAAAAGACCAAAAGACAAACAACAGTACACAAAACACAACATAGAAAACTAAAGACTGAGCTACACGAACCCAACCAAAAAACGGTGGGTGAGTTGTAGGAGCATTATGTTCTATACTGACGTCTGAGGTAACTGTCTTTTGATTAAAAAGTACTCGTTTACTGGGTTTTCTGTATGCAATAGAAATAATGGGTTATCAAATATGGATGTTTAACGTTTTTAATGGTAAAGTAATTAAATATAATAGATAAGTTGATAAAATCAAAAAATCTGTAAGTTTATTCAATGTTAAGAAAATGCCTGTCTATATAGATGCTCGGGAACAACCTATGCCGACAATGAGCTGTAATTAAAAGCGTTCATTGATAGAGTGGGCTGAAAAATAAATGTGTAT